CCAGCAAGTCCCAGCAATTCTGTCTCCACCACCCTTGGCACTGAGGCTACAGGTGCACAAGCAGCTACACTTGCTTTTTATGTGGGTGTTGTCAGGCAAACCCAGGTTCTCATGCTCACACAGCAGACACTCTTTTTTACCCACTGGTCCATTGAATCCCAGTCCATGAATCCTAGTTTGTTTGTTTGTTTGTTTGTTTGTTTGTTTGTTTTCCAGAGCTGAGGACCAAACCCAGGGCTTTGCACTTGCTAGGCAAGCGCTCTACCACTAAGCTAAATCCCCAACCCCTCCTAGTTTTTTTTTTTAAGGTTTATTATTATTTAGTGTGTGTGTGTGTGTGTGTGTGTGTGTGTGTGTGTGCACATGCATGTGGATGCCAGAAGAGGGCATTGGATCCTCTGAACTGGAGTTGCAGACAGTTATGAGCCATCCATTGTGTGTCCTAGGAACCAAAACTCAGGTCCCGTGAAAGAGAAGCATGGCCTTTAACTATGGAGCCATCTCTCCAGCCCTAGCCCAGATTTTAAAAAAGTAAATCTTGTATGTCAGGAACCATGCTAGGCACAAGACAAACATTAATAAATTGAATGGCAGGGCTGAGCTGGACATGGTGGGGCATACCTGTAATCCCAACATTCAAGAACCAGAAGGAGGAAGATTGCAAATTCAACGCTGGCCTGCAGTACATGCTGAGTTGAGTTCATCCAGGATTGAACAGAGAGGTCTTGTCTGGAAACACCATAACCAACCAGAGCAGGCCTGGACTGGAGAGATGGCTCAGCAGTTAGAAGAGAGACACTGATACAAACTAGGAAGTTTGGGGAGGCTTTTATGAGGAAGAATATAGGTGGTATTTTATTTGTACTGAAATGTGATTTTATTTGTATGTTCATAAATAAAGTTGCCTGGGGGTCAGAGCTAATAGCAAGCCATAGCAGAGCTGGGTGATGGTGGTGCACGCCTTTAATCTCAGCACTTGGGAGGCAGAGCTAGGTGGATCTCTGTGTGTTCAAGGATACAGCCAGCATGGCGACACACACCTTTAATCTCAATACTAGCCATAGAAGACTTGGAGGTCTGTATAGACGGGCAGTGATGAGAAGGTCATGTGGTTGGGTCTACAACCAATGAGAAGGCAGAACAGAAAGTCAATAAAAAGACAGAGACACAGGAAGTAGGCCTTGAGGGGAGAGGAAGGACAGCAGCGGCAGTGAAGGGTAAGGTTTTTAGCTCTTAGCTATTGCTCTGACCTCTTGGGCTATTAACTCTGCATTTGGCTCTGTGTTTCTTATTTAATAAGACCATTCATCTACAGAAGAACACATTTGAAACTGGGCATGGTGGCACACACCTTTAATCTTAGCACTCCAGAGGCAGAGGCAGGTAGGTGGATCTCTGTGTGTTCCAAGCCATCGTGGTTTATATAGTGAGTTCCAGGACAGCCATGGCTACATAGTGAGACTTTGTCTTGGGGGAAAAAAGATTCAAACACACACATACTTTGTTGGTCATTTTTCTTAAGTTTTATTTATCTTGTTTTATGTGTATGAGTGTTTTGTCTGTGTGTGTGTATATATACCACATGCATGATGCCTGGTGCCCTCAGAGGCCAGGAGAGGGCATCAAATTCCCTGGAATTCAATTACAGGTGGTTGTAAGATGCCATATGGATGCTAAGAATTGAACTCAGGTCCTCTGGAAGAGCAGCAAGTGTTCTTAACTGTTAAGGCAACTCTCCTGCCCCCAAAACTGCAATCTTAGAGATGACTAGTAGTTGACTAGAGGAAGAGAGGATCAGGCAATACAGAAAGAGCATAAAGACCCTTTGATGGGGAAGAGAGAAACACATATTACCTGTAACAATAAACATTAGCTGATGGAACAGGTACTTATTTACCGTTCTAGAGGTGGTGGGATCTGAGAGAATGGAGTCAATAAACAAGGTGAACTAACATCTCATGCAATAGCCAACTTTTTTAATGATTTATTTCTTTTTAATTTATGTACATTGATGTATTTTTATCTTATGTGCATTGGTGTTTTGCCTGCATGCATGTCTATGTGAAGGTGTCAGGTCCTCTGGAACTGGAGTTACAGACAGTTGTGAGCTGCCATGTAGGTGCTGGGAATTGAACCTGCGTCCTCTGGAAGGACTCTTAATCACTGAGCCATCTCTCCAGCCCCACAATAGTCAACTTTATTCAGAGCATCAGACAATTTATGCTCTGAGAGTTAAGAAGAGTCACATGAATGAAGCATCCAGTCACAAGGACAGGTCACACACATGGACAAGCTGCATGGTGAAACAGCCAGACATGCTTTTCCGTAGAGTCATATGAGCAAATAACAACAGCCATTTGTAATGAATGATCAGAGGTAAACTCACTCCTGTCTGCCACACCTGGGATGGGTATGAAAGCACATTCCAAGAACAATTCCCTGTTTTTGAAGAAAGTGAGGTCATAAGATTCTTGTCTTGCCAGGCAGTGGTGGTGCATGTCAGCACTCGGGAGGCAGAGGCAGGTGGATCTCTGTGAGTTTGAGGCCAGCCTGGTCTACAGAGTGAGTTCCAGAACAGCCAGGACTACACAGAGAAACCCTCCCCTTGTCTTGGTTTCTTGGCATTTTCTCACAAGTACTCAGAATTCTCCTCACACGACTCCATTCTTGGACCATGTCCTGACAATATTGTTAATAAAAACTGACATTTATGTGCTAGGAGCTCTTAAAAGATGTTAGTCGGGTAAATTAACACTAGCTACATTAATAAAGAAGCCCCAAGTCTCTGGGATTTCCTGTCATAAGGAATTATTTCTTCCTCTCCATGGATGGGCAGCTTTCCTGGGCAGTCTCTTTCAGGCTGTGACTCGGGGATACAGGTTCTCTCACACGCAAGATCTAGATTTAATAAAATAGACATGAAAGCAAAGAGGATGGGCTGGGAGATGGCTCAGTGGGTAGAGTCACTTGCCAAGCCCAGTAACTTGAGTTTGTCTCCTGACCCTTCATGACAGAAGGAGGGGTGACTGCCATTAGTTGCTCTTTGACTTCTGTAGGGGGAAGTTTCTCGGTCCCACTAGATCCCGCCCGACCCGCTCAGTCCTGCCTGGCCCCACTGTCAGGATGAATCTCTCCCACCTGTGGAGGTGCCACAGCTGCTTATAAAATCAGCATTCAGAGGCTTATATTAATTACAAACTGTATGGCCTATGGCTTCAGCTTCTTGCTAGCTAGCTCTTTCATCTTAAATTAACCCATTTCTATAAATCTGTATGTTGCCACATGGCTGTGGAGTTACCGATCTGATCTGCTGATGTTGCTCCTGTGAGGGCTTGCATCTCTTCTGACTCCGCCCTTCTTCTCTCTGTATCTCTGCTTGGATTTCCCGCCTGGCTGTAAGCTTTCTTTACTTTTTTTTTTTTTTTTTTTTTTTGGTTTTTCGAGACAGGGTTTCTCTGTGTAGCTTTGCGCCTTTCCTGGAACTCACTTGGTAGTCCAGGCTGGCCTTGAACTCACAGGGATTTGCCTGGCTCTGCCTCCTGAGTGCTGGGTTAAAGGCATGCACCACCACCGCCCGGCTGGCTGTAAGCTTTCTTGCCATAGGCCAAAACAGCTTTATTTATTATCCAATGGGAGCCACACATATTCACAGCATACAGAAAGACATCTCACAGGACTTCCACACATGCACCTGCACACATACACAAACAGATACACCATACCACAACGTGTCTGCGCGCGCACACACACACACACACACATAAATAAAGTAAAGTAAAAACAATAGCTTTCATCCCAGCATGACACAGGTGGATCATGCATGAACTCAAGACCAGCCTGAGCTATATACAGAGTGAGTTCCAGGCCAGCTAGGGTTAGCTACATAGTGACATCCTATCTCAAAATTTAATACAACTGGGGCTGGAGAATGGCTTATCAGTTAAAGGTGCTTACTGTTTTTGCAGAGGACCTGGGTTCAGTTCTCAGTATCTACATGGCAGCTCACAACCACCTGTAACAGTTTCAGAGGATCTGATGTCCTCTTCTGGCCTCCAGTGATCCCACAAGCACATGGTGCATATAAATTCATATAAACACACACACAAACACATCAAAAAAAAATTAAAAACCTTAACAACAACAACCAAAAGGAGGGGAAATGAGACTAGGAAAATTATGTGCGAAGAGGGAGAGGAGACAAGAAAGGCTAATAATGAGGGATGAATATAGCCAAAGTACATTATAAGAACACAAGAAAATGTCATAATGAAATATGCTATTTTGCATAATTAATATATACTAATGAAACAGAAAGAGGAAGGGAGAGAACAAAGAGGAAGAGGGGGGTCAGGGAGGAAGTTATGGGCCAGGCTTGTTAAGTGAATACACATCTGCCTGCAGTTGCCCAGAACCCTGTCACCTGGTCCCCAGTTGACAGCCATAGATACTAGGAAATGTAGTTGACTTGTGTGTAGTATGAATCAGAACCTAGTTTCTGAACCATTGTTTGCTAACAAATCATCAAGAATCAGACTGAAGTGCCTATCTGACAAATTACCGTTCTGGATAGAATATGAATTGAATTAGACAGAAGTCACTAGATTTGGTACCTGCTAATGCTCGAGGAGTCAGGTCTGGCCAGGAAACTCACAAGCAGCACATTCTAAGGAAGAAGCCCTTGAACACAGCATTCATCATTAACTGAATGGAGACACATCTGGGGAGAGATGCCAGATGTCGGGGTGGGGGCACCTGTGGAGTTTGAGTAGGTGTGGTCTGAGGTGAACATTGTTTATAGATATTACATATTAATATACAACATATATTGATAGATATTAATCATGCGGTCTATTTGCTGCAAAGGTTTGTGCTGTGGGACGGTCTGTATGTCAAATTGCTGTGATTGGTCAATAAATAAAATACTGATTGGCCAGTGGCCAGGCAGGAAGTAGGTGGGACAAGGAGAGAGGAGGATTCTGGGAAGCAGAAGGCTGAGGCAGAGAGACTCTGCGAGCCGCCGCCATGACCAGCAGCATGTGAAGACGCCGGTAAGCCACCAGCCACATGGCAAGGTATAGATTTATGGAAATGGATTAATTTAAGCTATAAGAACAGTTAGTAAGAAGCCTAACATGGCCATACAGTTTGTAAGCAATATAAGTCTCTGTGTTTACTTGGTTGGGTCTGAGCGGCTGTGGGACTGGCGGGTGACAAAGATTTGTCCTGACTGTGGGCAAGGCAGGAAAACTCTAGCTACAAATGGCTCACTAGGGCCTTCACTTACACGCACCACCATTTTAAAAATTTTTTTAAAAAAGCATTTTTAAAAATCATTCCAAGATTCCCTTGGGATATGTAACCCTGTAGGTCCCATCCGCCACAGGTCATCATTGCAGGTGTTCTGACTTGAACTGGAAATATTCCCTATGGGCTCATATCTTCAACCCTGGCACACAGCTGGTGGTATTTTTGGGGGTGGGTTCTGGAAACTTTTGGAGGTGAGGTTGTCTAGCCGAGAGAATTAGGTCCCTAGAGTCTGATCCTTGGAGCGTCTTAAGTGCCCCCTGTTTCCTGCCTTGCTCTCCTCTGCCTAGTCCACCAGGATGTGAAGAGCTGGCATCACATGTCCCTGCCCCCATGAACTGAACTTCTCCACTCTGTCTTCTTTCCATCCTGGGCAGAAAGCTTCTGAAGCCATGAGACCAGATGGATCGATCTTCCCTCCCTTATTTTGTTTCCATCCGGGATTGTGGTCACAGCAATTCGAACGCTAACTAAAACAGCAGGGAAGTTGCCAAGCTGGGCTTTGCAAGGGCCTTCTGTCTTCAGAGTCCTGGCAACAATCGTTGCCTCTGAGAGGCTTCAAGGTTTAATTGTGTTTGTGTGGAGGAGCGCACAGGTGCAAAGGGGTAATTAACTTCTCTTGACATCCTAGACATCAAATGCTTTCTCTTTTACCTTTGCTCTGGGCTCCGATTTGCAGAGAAAAACTTTTGCATCCTTGCGAGTGTGTGTGTGTGGGGTGGGGGGAGGAGCAGGTGTGGCATGCCGCTGGAGCCAGAGGAAGACGTTGAGTGTCTTTCTCTGTCACTTTCTGCTTTATTGCCATGAGACACTGCTTTTCACTGAACTGAAAGCTATCTATTTTGGCTACCTGGCTGGCCAACAAGCTCTCAGGATCCACCTACTGCTGGTCCCATCCCCAGGGCTGGGGTTACAGGTGCACACAACCATACCAAAGTTTGTCTAAAAAGCCATAGGTTTTTACATGGGTGTCTCTAGTCCCCGGCCTCTGCATTCTGAAGGGTTATTTGCTTGTTTCCACTTGGGCCATTTGGCAAGGAAGAGCAGAAACTTCTAGAAAACTTCCACTCACCTTCAAGGTGAGCCAGGTGAGTAACGAGCTTCCTTCTTCTCAGAGTGACAGTTGCTTAATCCCAGCAATAAACTGCTTCCAGGGAGAAAGGACTGCTGGAAGGACTGTGTCAATTACATGGTGATTATGAAATTCATGATGTGACTAATCCAGTGGCTGAACCTATGATTATCAGACATGATCCAAGAATATTCAGCCTAACAGGCTCTTAGCTTCTCATTAGAGAGAAGCCAGTTGAATCTGCGTGTACCCTGGATGGCTTTCTCCTTTCCTGGTCTCTCTCCATGGAAGACAGTGAGCATCGATATGATGGTTTCTGAATTAAGCTCAGTGTCCTGGGAGCTTATATAAGGTCTAATTTTCATGGTGACTCAAAGCTTGGGAACTCCGGAATGTGGCTTTATATAACTTGAAGTACCATGAAGGTCTTTGACCTTGAAAACTTCCTTTAGTGACTTACATATGTTTTCCCATAACTAGAGTCTATGATTAGACTGTAGGTCATCCTGATAGGCCTCAGTTTTCCAAAGCACTCTGTGCTTGGGAACAGTGTATAACCTTTTTAAATGGTGTGTGTGTGTGTGTGTGTATGTATGTATGTGTGTGTGATGTGTTCTAATTCCAGTGTATATTCCTGCTCATGTGGAGGCTGGAGGATCCCTCAGTAGGGTTCTCATTTCTCAAGGTCTATCCTTCCTGTTTGGAGACAGTCTGGTACTGACCTGGAGTCAGATCAGTAGACTAGGCTGTCCAAGGAGAAAGATCATCTCTGAATGGCCGTCATCTCCCAACTGTTTTAGAGAAAAAGGCCTATGGCTTCTAAGCATTGGTGGATGTTGGGTGGTTTTTTTGTTTTTTTTTTTTTTTGGTCTAGGTTTCTAGGGCAAAGCTAATTGGCTACTGGTTCAAAAGTTGCCATCTGGGGCTGGGGAGATAGCTGGGCAGTTCAGATCACTTGCTGCTCCTCCAGAGGACCTGAGTTTGGTTTCCAGCATCCACGTCAGGTAGCTCACAACCAAATGTAATTCCAGCTCCAGGGGATCCAACATCTTCTGGCCACTGTAGATGCCCTTTCTATATATACACACACAAATAAAATGAAATAATAAAATAAAAAAGCTGTCATCTGTAGGTGGGGCAGTAGCCTGTAGATGAATTTCTAAATGGTCTTATTAAATTAAAAAAAAAACAAAAAAAAAAAAACAGAGCCCGATACAGAGGTGAATACCTGAGAGATCAGGGAAATAGGGAAAGCCACAGCTAACCTCACCTCACCAACTCCGCAGCTTCCAAATGCGAGTTACTTCCTGTCTACCCATGCCTGTGTGCTTTGCTGTTCTGCCATCTGATTTGCTCTCTCTGCCCAGCCACATCACTTCCTCTTCCTACACAGCTGTCACTTCCTGTCTGTCTGTACAGAACTCTAGACCTCCATGGTTAACTAGTGTTGGAATTTAAGGCGTGTGCTACCACACCTGGCTCTGTTTCCAGTGTGGCCTTGAACTCACAGAGATCCAGACATAACTGCCTGCCAAGTGATAAGATTAAAGGCATGTGCTAACATTTCATGACTTCTGTGTTTATTTATAATAGCTGTTCCTATTCCTCTGATCTCCAGACAAGCTTTATTTATTAAAACACAAATAAAATATCACATTTCAGCACAAATAAAATATCGCCACAGTAGCCGATGAAACAGCCTTGTGCAATTATGGGAGGAAAAGGAGTTATCTTTCCAGGATGAGATCTGGGTGACTTGGTCTGTCTGCTAAAGACGCTAAGAACACTAAGAAGAGGAAACTAGAACCTTTTGCTCTTCCTAGACAGAAATCATTAATAGGCAAAGAACAGCTCTTTAGTGTTGGTCATTCTGATCCTCGGGAACCAAAGACTTACAGATTGGGCTGACAGATTCCCAGGCGTATAGCTCCACACCTTGATAACTAGAGACATGGCTTAGCTAGAGACATGTTAACATTCTGACCTGCCACTGGGAAACCAGTGTTAGTATTCTGACCCACCCCTTGGCACCCACCCACGTCCTGATGTAAAAGCCTCAACACCCCCCACCCCCCACCAGGATTTCTCTGTAGTTTTGATGCCTGTCCTGGATCTCACTCTTTAGACCAGGCTGGCCTCGAACTCACAGAGATCTGCCTGCCTCTGGCTCCTGAGTACTGGGATTAAAGACATGCGCCACCACGTTAAGGAAAAAATAAATAAATAAACCTCCCCTCCCCCCCTCTCTTCTGCCTTTTCTCCCATGAGGTGTGCACCCTTGACCGCACTTCCTCTCTCTTCCTCTCTCTATTCTCTCCTTCTTTCCTATCTTTCCCTTCGTCTCTCTATTATAATAAACCATTTCTGCGTGGATGCAGTGTCTGGGTTTTGAATGACTATCCACCACCACTGCCCCACCGCCATGCCTGCTTGGCGTGGGTCACCTGTCGGCCCACTGCTGTATCTGCCCAGCATGCCAGCATGTTTCCCTGCACATGCAGGATACTTTCGGAGTCCCCCGTGCAATATATCATAACATCGGCACCCATGACATCGGCAGGCAATCCCACTGCTTTCTCCTGTACCACCCACCATTTTTTTTCCGACCGGAGCACTACGGGAGACTCTTCACCCTGTCAGATGGGTAAGATTCCCCTCTTCCTTTCTGCCATTCCCCACAACTGAGGATTCATCTGGTTTTTCTCTAGCTGGCCCCAGAACCATGTGTCTTTCAGGCTCATAGTCCCGGCCCCTGTCCCTGTGTGACGGCATATGGAGACAGCCTGTGCCCACTCAATCCCACAGCATCTGGTATGATGGTTCATTGGCTGTCTTGTGCCATTCATTGGTCCTCACTGACCCTCCGGGATGCTGGAGGTCAGTCCTTTGGACCTTTTTAACCTCACTGTGGAAAATACACCTACCCTCTCCTATCCCAGCTCCCTCCTCCACCGCACAACCCCCCACATCCTCCTCCAGTTTCTGCTAAACAATTACGTCATCACATGTTGCCAGGTTCCTTTCCACGGCATCTACACCCTTTAAAATTGCCCATTAGGCCAAGTTTGTTCTCTTTGCTTTTCCCTTCCTTCTAATTCCTCTCCTTGTCTGTAATTCTATCTCTTAAATATTTTCTCTCTGTGGCCCAACTCTGTTGCCAGGACCTCCTGTTCCTCCTGCGGGACTTGAGTGCGCAGCCCTGAGCCCCGCCCCACCAGCTACCAAGCGAAAGGGGTGGCAGACTAGCTGCAGAAATGTCTGGTCACCAGCCAGGCACCAGGCTGAGCTCCGGGAATCCAATTGATGAGAGAGAGAGAGGAGAGATACTGCAGGCGAGGGACATCGAGATCATGATGGGAGGACGTGTAGAGATGACTGGCCACACAAGTGGAAGCCCATGAACTGTGGACTGGTGGCTGTGGAGCCCCCATGGGACTGGACTAGGCCCTCTGGATACGGAAGACGGTTGTTTGGCTCGAACTGTCTGGGGGGCACCCAGGCAGGGAGATCCGGATCTGTCCCTGGTCTATGGGTAGGCTTCTGGAATCCCGTGCCTGAGGTGTGATACCTTGCACAGCCTTGGTGCAGTGGGAAGGGGCTTGGACCTGCCTAGGCTCAGTGTGCTGGGCTTTGCTGACTCCCCATGGGAGACCTCGATTTGGGGGATGTGGGGATGTGGGGTGGCTTGGGAAAGAGGACTGGGGAAGGGAGGAGGGACGAGGGGGGCTCTGTGGATAGCGTGTGGAGTGAGCAGAAAATTTCTTAATAAAGAAAATTGAGAAAAAGAAAAAAGAAAAAGAAATATCTGGTCCTTGACTGTATTGCTGCTGCTGCTGCCGCCGCCACCACCACCACCACTGCTCATGCTGTTGGGGCAAAGCCAGGCTGAGCATAGTCCCTGCCCCCACCACTGCCGCTAACCCATGGCCTGGGTTTGTTCTCTGTGGCTGCTCAAACCATGCCGCAGCCTGGGGGGTCCCTCTCTCCCACCCGGCTGCACTGCTACTCCATTTCCTCGTTCCCTCCACAACTCTGCCTCTGAGCTCTATTGCATTAACCGTAAAACTCTGTCTTTTTTTTTCCCCCAAAAATTCTATTTCCTATGTGCAAATAGAAATGCATGATTCATGTGGCCGCCTGTATTTCTTTCTGATTGACTTTTAAATGCTTCACTTTATATGTTCCTTATCTATTGAATTTCTTTTGGGAAAAACAAAACAAAACAAAAAACCACACATGACCATGTGGTCAGGCGCCATACCATATTTGATAAGGGCTATCATGTGGTCAGTCAGGCACCATCTTTAATAAGGTCAAAACAGACAGGTCATATGGCCTCACTGCCATCTTTACTAAGGGCACCATGAATCAGTTATGAGCGGGGACAGCACACTCCTATGCCAGGATAGGGAAGCAGCAGTAATGCTTAAGAGGTTTTAAATCTTTTTAAAATGCCATGCACTAGGTCTCTTGATAAATGATTCAGGATATAAGTACCAGTTACAAAGATATAAATAAATAACCTAAATGCTTCAAATTGCTTTCCCTTTCTATGATATTGTTATATTAAGATTTTTAAATTTCAGATTTTAATATTGATGCAATTCTGATACTGTTTGGGTCACAAGCTCAGGATTTTAAACCTATAGATATGAGTCTATTCCTGAGAATGGCATTTTTCTCTCTCCTGGTTTCTAATTACCAAAACTACAGGTCTGAAAATTCCAAATAAGTTCATAAATTTTTTTTTTTTTCGAGACAGGGTTTCTCTGTGTAGCTTTACGCCTTTCCTGGAACTCACTTGGTAGCCCAGGCTGGCCTCGAACTCACAGAGATCTGCCTGGCTCTGACTCCCGAGTGCTGGGATTAAAGGCGTGTGCCACCACCGCCCGGCATAAGTTCATAAATTTTAACTCTTGTCTCTAGTCTGTATCTGTTTCAGTAGGCTTCCATTTGACTAACTGACACATCCAGGCACCAGCTACCAACTTCAACCTGTGACACATGGGCTTCTCAGGAGACAGCAAGTCCTAGCCTTATGCTAAGATATGAGAGACTTAGGGAATACTAATTGATAGTCAGCCATTCATGTCTAATAGACGGGCAGTTTTCAAATGCTCAGAGATCTGCAGAATATGCCATTTAAAACATTAATCAAAAAGCTTATTATATCAAACAGAGACTCCCAGATCCTAGCAGTGACCCAAGGTCTCCGAAGAAGATGTCTCCATCTGGATAATGGCAACACTGACCTCTGGGCAAGATGCCCCATTTTGTGACACCTGCCACCAGGACCCGGCCCAGACTGTGGACAAACAGCAGGACGTCGGGGAATTGATTGCACTCCTTTTGCCTAGACAAAGTAAGATCAGTCTTCCCTATGTCCCGCTTCTATAGGAAAAACTCCCACCTCATGGTCCTGATGGGTTGAAGATTGATGCTGTTCTGACAACAATATGGAGATCTGGGTATGGACTGAATGAATTTGAAAGCTGCTTGGTCTGCACTCGGATATGATTTATCCTTCTCAGATCTCTGATTCCGTTTGATGACCAGGCTTTGCCTCAGCTGCTTTCTCAGTTCTCCATATAAAATTCACAGGTCTCCCTCTCCCAGGGCTAATACTAGGTCTAGACACAATTTACCTTGTTACTAGATCAGATAAATTCACAGGACAGATTCCTATATAACTTTTTACTATTGATGGCTCTCAGTATATCCTGGTTTGTTTATATGAAGATAGGAAAGCTACCTCACTTCTTAAATTTTTCCTTCTCAGATCTGACAGTGTTTGATGACTAAGATGTATCAGTTTAACAGCCCCATCCCAAGACTACAAGCACCTTGATAGCTCATTAATGAGTTTCCTGTTAAAAATACAGACAGGTATGCCTCATTCACAAACTTCATGGTACAGGTTTTAGATATAACTCTGGAAGTTCAAAGTTTTAAATTCAGTTTTGATAAACTAATACAACATTGACTACAAAGAGTTCTTAAGAGTCCTTACATTTCTATGGCTTTTTAACTCTTTTGCTGTGATGTAAATCTATTCCAGCTGTCTTACAGATACCTGCAGGTTCCTGGGAGAAGTTCTGCTACTGTATCAAAAAATCTGGTCTGATAAAAAGCTAACACTCTCCAGAGCCCATTTCTGACCCCACGTATTTTTTGAGCACATTTTGCAGATTCAATCTTCCCGCCTGACCTCCAGAGAAACAGCCGATGCCATGGCTTCTGTACTCCTGATTTGGTATGCCATTCCCCCAAGCTCCTGGACCATCACTGCTGCAACCTGCCTCCTCAGCTCCCTCAAGGAACAGACGCCTGGGTCCCGCCGCCATGTGTGACTCCCGTTTCCCCCTCCCCACTTTGCCCCTTGTCAGCTTGAAGCAGTCTCGGGAATTCAGCGTTCTTGTTCCCCCACTTGCTACCCATAACTCACCTTTTTATAATAATCAAAACAGAGGAATGTCAGTATTCTGACCCACCCCTTGGAAACGCGCCCCTTGGGGCTGCCCTGCATCCTGATGTAAAAGCCTCACTATGAGGAAAAACCCGCTTTTCTTTCTCTCTCTTCTCTGCCCCCCTCTCCATTCCCACTAGGTGTGCACACCTCCGCTTTCCCTCCATTCTCTTTCTTCCTGTCTCCCTCTTTCCTATTTTCTCTTCACCTCTTTATTGTAATAAACTCTCCACGTGGATGCAGCCCCTAGGAGTGAGTTATTGTTCCGTGGGCTGCTGTCCATTGCTGCATCTGCCCGCCATGCTTCCTTGTCCGTGTGGGATACCCTGGCCCGGCCAGCTGGGGTCCCCTGTGCGATATATCATAACATATGTAACTGTAGGAACTCAGGTTGGAGCTGACTCCTCTGGCTTCCAATTGCCAGTGACCTTGCACTTGGCAGTTAGTGAAATCCTTGGCTCTAACCGGCCGCTAGCCACAGCTGCAGACAACTGCAGTCAGTACCCCCAGTGGACAGCATATAAGCCCAAAGGGTTGGGACTCTTTACCTCTAGAGTGACTATTGCCGCAGCACGGGAGCTCGAAGCGCCAGGACCTCAGACGTCAGTGTTCACCAGCCCTCAGGGGCTTCTAGGGGCCTTTCCAGTCCCTGCGACTGTCCTCTTCTCTCTTAGGCCGTAGCTCTTGGCCATCTTCCTTTTTCCTCCGTCTCTTGTCATGTCTGCCACCTCTGACCCTTGCCACTGTCTGGAACTCTCCCACTGCCCGCTTTCCATGGCTTCTGCTGCCCCACCATCTCCTCCTCTATTATGAGCTCAGGCCTTTCTACTCACCATAAAAATAAAAACCAGCTTGGGCCTGGTGATGCATGCCTTTAATCCCAGCCAGGAGGCAGAGGTGGGAGGATCTCTCTCTCTCTCTCTCTCTCTCTCTCTCTCTCTCTCTCTCCTCCAGACCAGCAGGCCTACATAGTGAGTTCCAGGCCAGACAAGGCTACTTAATGAGACCATCTCTCAGAAGACCAAAAAATAAAAATAAAAATAATTTCAAAATAAAATAAAAAGCAGGCAAAGAGACCATTCAGGAAAGGACTATTTTAACCTGGAACTAGTGTCTAATATTGTAATATCTGGGAGCAGTACAGAAGACTATGGGTTGGTGGGGAGAACCCCTTGCCAGTCACTCAGCAAGAACCCAGTGATTAAAATAATTAAATAATAGTAATTAATAATTAAAATAATAAAAATGAATAAAAGTAAAATTACCATAATGTCTAGTTATTTCTCTCTGCAAAGACTTCTGGCGTTCTCTCCGAGTGTGGCCCCACTGACAACTCTCTTGTTCCCCTTTTTTTTCCACCTTAGATCCTTCCGGCCAGAGGTAATGACCTTTCAAAGCAGATATGGGCACTTTCCACAGTGCTAATGAAGTGGCTTAACATTAGTGCAGCCATGACAGGCTGCAAACTAACAATACTAGAACTAGGCCTCACCCTTACAATAACCAGGAAAAGCCACCAACTGTAACCTGTGGGAGACCAATCAGAATTGAGACAAACAAGTGCTAGATGCTCCAGAGCATTAAGGATCGATTACATCACTTGCATAGAGGTTGCCAGTTTCCTTGCAGCAACGCCAGCACTGATCCCTGTTTGACAGGACTTCTGTTGCCCCGCTCCTGCCCAATCAGGAGTTCAACCCCCATCCTTTACTCCTTAAAAACTCTGCCTTAACTGAGCTCAGGGCTCTCCCTGATCCAACCGCTGTGTTGGAATGGACAGAGAGCCCAAGCTTGAGCTTGCAATAAAGGTTCGTTGCTTTTGCATATGAACTCGGACTCTGATGGTCTGGGGGAGCGGCGCGGGGTGGGGGGAATCATGATATGGGCATAACACTAAGCTAACAGGAATCACTGTCACGTGCTCAGTGGTCTTATTTTCTGTCTTTTAGAAGGGAGAGCACAAGTAGTGGGTTTATGGCTTAGTCAAGTCCCGAGTTAGTTTCCTGTTACTGCTGTAGCTTGGTGTTTCCAGGACTGACTCCTGGAAGTTTCAGGGGAGGGCCAGTTTTCTGCCCCCCCACAGCTTCTCAAGGCCGGTGACAGTCTCTGCCTCCATCCTCAACCTCTTCTGTCCATGGTCATATGTCTTCTCTGGTCCTCTGTCTCTTGGGAAGAAAGCTTGTGATTGCATTGTGCTAAGCTGCATATCCCAGGTTGTTCTCACTACACGACCCACAATTCAATCACATCTTCGAAGTATGATTTGTCATAAAAAGCAGTGCTTACAGGTTCTGAGGACTAAAATTTATCTACCCTCCTGATCGCAGATAGCAACAAACAGTTCTGGTTTTCTCAGTCAGAGGGGGTTCAATGTAAGATTGTACAAAGAAGCAAGAACATAAAATCAAGAAATCCCACAATATCTGGGATGCAGAGAAGGGTATCTTTAATGCTTTGTGCTAAAGGTTCTAACAGTAGAGGGCTGCATTTACACTTAAGGTAGTAGGGCAATGGTTAAGAACCTAGGTAAGTGCCTGTAAGAATGGTAGCATTGTGTTGGGCTATCTCTAAGATTTCTTTTTTTGTTTGTTTGTTTTTGTTTTATTTTTCTAGACAGGGTTTCTTTGCACCTTTCCTGGATCTCGCTCTGTAGACCAGGCTGGCCTCGAACTCACAAAGATCCGCCTGCCTCTGCCTCCCAAGTGCTGGGATTAGAGGCGTGCGCCGCCGCCGCCACCACCCACCAAGATTTCTTTTAAATTTATATTTTTTATTTTATGTGTATTGGTGTTTTGTCTGCATGTATATCTGTGTAAGGGTGCTAGATCTCCTGGAACTGGAGTTACAGACGGTTGTGAGCTGCCATGTAAGTGCTGGGAATTGAACCCGGGTCCTCTAGAAGAGCAGCCAGTGCTCTTAACTGCTGAGCAGTCTTTCCAGTCCTGGATAAATTTTATTTTTAAATTTTAAATTTAAATTTTAAATTATATGTGTATGTGTGCATGTGAGTACAGTGACATCAAGACTAGAAGCGTGTATGAGATCCCCTGGAGCTGGAGTTACAGGGAGTTGTGGGCCACCACACCCGGAGAGCAGTGTGCACTTTTAACTGCTCAGCCACCTTCCCTACCTCGTTTTGATTTTTTTCCCAGACAGCATCTCTCTCTATAGCCCTGAATGTCTTGGAACTCTCTATGTAGACCCAACTAGCTCTTTTATTTCTTTTGGATATTTCTTTTTTTTTTATTTTATTATCATTTTTATATTATTATTATCTTTTTTTTTTTTCAGACTGGGTCTCTCTATATAGTCCTAGCTATTGTGGAACTTGCTACACAGACCAAACTGACCTCAAACTCACAGACACCCACCTGCCACTGTCTTCCGAGTTCTGGGATTAAAGGCATGTGGCAACATGCCCAATGATTATTGTTATTTTTAAAGATATACTCTGTTATGCTGAGTGTTTGTTTTCTTCCATGTAATTTTTCAATGGTCTGTGGAGTAACACGCTAGTTAAGCACCCTACCCCTGAGAAACAGCCTCAGTCCACATTTCTTTTTAAATTTTTTTTTATTTTACGCATATGGGTGTTTTGCTTGCTTGTATAAAAGTGCACCATGTGTGTCAGAAGAAGGCAATGGATTCCCAAGAACTGGAGTTACAGACAGTTGTGAGCAACCCTGGGTCTCTTGCAAGAGCTGTTAATGTTCTGTTTGGTTTTTAATTTAAAAATATTTTTTTGATTTCTATTTTGTGTGTATGGGTGTTTTACCTGCATGTATATCTGTACATCACATGCTTGCCTGGTGCTTGTAGAGGTCAGAAGAGGGTGTTGTATCTCCTAGAACTGTAGTTACAGACGGTTGAGACCTATATGTGAGTACTAGAAACTGAACAAGTGTTCTTAACCATTGAGTCCTCTCTCTAGCCTCTAAAATTAGATTTATTCATTTTATTTTGTGTGTAAATGTTTTTGCTGCTCATCATCTCTGTGCTTGGTTGGAAGAGGGCATTGGATCTCCTGGGATTGAAGCAACAGGTGGTTGTGAGCCACCATGTGGGTGTTGGGAATTGAACCTTGGTCCCCTGCAAGAGCAAGTGTTCTTAACTGCTGAGTCATCTCTCCAGTCCCCTGTTTGTGTTTTTGTTTGGGTTTGGTTTTGGTTTTTGAGTCAGGGTTTGTCTGTGTAACAGCTCTGGCTGTCCTAGAACTCCCTTTGTAGACCAGACTGACCTTGAACTCACAAAGGTTCACCAGCCTCCATCTCCTGAGTGCTGGGATTAAAGGCCTGTGCCACCACGGCTGGCTCATTTTTTTTTTTTACATGCCTTTCTTCATTCACAGAAGCCTGGAGATATACAATAAAGAAAGCCTCATTACTATAATTAGAAGAATTATTCTGATAATGACTGTATTGGTCTTTTTGGTAACAGCATGCTCTTAGTTGCCGATGACAGAATTCACTGTCATGAGTTTTAACAGCGAGGGATTACATCCTCATAGTTGGGAGATCACAGGATTGCCAGCAGTGTCTGGAAAATGGACTAACATTCTGCACAGCCAGACACAACCCTAGGAGAAAGACTCTATCTGCAACAGGCACAGTCTCATGGAAATCCCACTGCCACTGCTCACCAGTTGGTATCTATGTGCTGGGGGCTGGGCAATAGGACTTCTAAAGCTCTGCTACCGTGGTGGTTACAAAAAGGCAGCTCCACCTGCATCTGAGTCACATTCCCCTCCCCAGATTCCGTGCTCTGCACAAGCCGGGTGACATGTAGCAGCCTCCTGCAAGTAACTTCCAGCACAGTGGGCTTCAGAAAGGGTAAAGGCCGGTACTGCGGATCTGTCTGTGGAGTCTGCCATAATGACTGTGGTAGTTCGAATGTAATTGGCTCCCATAAGCTCATAGGGGAGTGGTACTATTAGGAGGTGTGGCTTTGTTGGAGTGGGTGTGGCTTTGATGGAGGAAGTATTTCACTGTGGAGGTGGGCTTTGAGGTCTCTTATATGCTCAAGCCCTACCTAGTGTCTCAGACCACTTCCTGTTGCCTGTGGGATCAAGATGTAGCTCCTTTCCCACTCTCAGCTCCTTCTTCAGCACGCTGCCATGAACTGCCATGATGACAATGGATTGGACCTCTGAAACTGTAAGTGAGCCACCCCAATTAAATGTTTTCCTTTACAAGAGTTGCCCTCCATGGTCACGGTGTCTCTTCACAGCAATAGGAACCCTAACTATGACCATGACTGTACCTACTTCAGGAAACATGTGTCACAGAATAGTGGTAAGGACAAGGGACATAGTGAAATTAATGTGTCTAGCACTGAGCTAAACACTTCATGTGCATTACCTGTGGGAGCCTGTGGGAGTCCAGCTCCGACCTGCCTCCACCTTTTAAAGGGTTCTTAGATGGAGGAGAGAGGAATGAGGCAGTATCAGATAGAAAGAGAGACCTAGCCCAGGAGAAGAAAGACAGAAACAGAGGATAGCTTCAGGAGAGCCTGGATCAATATTCAACAGCCTTGAAGCTTTAGTCAAAAGGTCTTTTTATAACAATGCCAAAGGGCAGGACAAAAGACCTCTCCCTTGCAAGATCATACCATACAGTCAAGTGTAGATACTTCCAAACACCTGCTAACCACACCTGTGGTCAAATAGTGCCATTATGCAGCCCTGCTGGGTAAAGCAAGTCCCGATTCTCTGACCCTGAGTAAGTTCTCACTAGGAAAACTCTGTGGGTCTCCACAATTATTTAACTATCCAGGTAAACCTGTGAAGGCTATTTGTGCCCTTCAGTTAAAAATGAAAACACAAGGTGCTGGAGAGATGGTCCAGTGGTTGGGAGCACCCACATGGCAGCTCACAACTGTCTTTAATTCCAGTTGTAGGGGCCCAACACCCGTGGCAAAACACTTGTGCATATAAAATTAAAAAAAAAACAAAAAACAAAAAAACGAGACACAAAAACAGAGAGCTTAATTTGCCTCAGGTTTTATCATAAGTCAAACCAGGATTCATTCAGCTGTCTGAGAGTCTGAGCTTTGAACTATCATATTAATGATATTTTATTTATATATTTTTTTAACTTTTACTTATTATTGGTGTGTGTGTGTGTGCGTGCATGCATGTGCCTGTGTGTCTGTGTCCTCACAGGGGCCCACAGAAGGCAGAAAGTGCTTAGGATCCCCTGGAGCTGAAGTTGTAACAGTTGTGAGTCACCTGACCTGGGTGTTGGGCCGAGAACTTGGTAAGAGTAGTCCTTGATCTTAACCATCGTGCTCCAAGGCTGTGGGAAGCCTTTTAATCCACTGAACCATCTCCCAGGCCCCCAGCATTGTTTCAGCGCTTCCGGGACGTCTATCTTGCCTAGGTGATCTGTGTTTCCCAAGTTCCTGGAAGAGGTTGCCCACCGGGGACTTTGATGCTTGTTTCTAACCCGAGAAAGGAATGAGATCTTGTGAACATGGACAGCAAAGAGGGTTCATCTGGCCACGTCCTATGTTATATTACCTTTTGTGTCCAATCCAAGGCAACGGGTCCCAAGGAGAGGATGTGTACCAGATGGAAAAAGTCAACTGGAAAGTTTTACTTATGAAGAGAATGGAAAGAGGATCAAATTCCTATAGCCAGGCCAGTCTTTCTAGGATGCTTCACCTGAAGGGGACAGATACTTTAAAGGGCTAATCCTAATTATAGGAAAACCTGAATGCATTTCCTCTCTTTCTTCATTTCTAAAGGCAGAGCTGTGCTGACAAGACCGGGCCTGTGGCGTTACACACAGTCCAGCTGTGTTTTCAGCCTGAATGCCCAGGGGCAAGTGTCATTAACATTCCAAGGTGTCAAGTACTTCCCCACCACAAAAGCCCTGCAGCATCTTACTGTGTTCGAGGATTCACAGCACCATCCTCTCGGTCCAGCACACTCAGTATACAAGGATGTGCAGAAAATCAACGTTCTGAACCCCAACATTCCCCCTGTGGATGGAACCTACTGAGTTACAAAACGAGAGACACTTTGAAAGGAACATCTGATCCAGTGTCCTCCCACCTGTTTCTAAATTAGAATCCCAAACCCAGATCCACTGGAGTCATGCTTTAATTTCATTCAAAACCTGTGTCATCCTGTTGAATTGGGGCCCACAGGAAATAGGGCCTTGGCAAATCCTGAATCTCCTGGAATTTGATCCTGACCCAGTATCTGGCCTGATCTGGTTTCCTTTGGGCTAAAGCATTTTCTTGTTTGCAAGCAGAACAATATGTTTTACAATATATTATGGAAATGACTGCTGGCATGTAATAAGCATTAAACTGTATATAAGCTTTTTATTTATTTATTTACAGTTTTGCTATACAGTCTGTCTTCAGACTCCTGGGCACAAGCAATCTTCCTGCCTCAACTTCTTGAGTAGCTGAGATTATAGGTACACACTGCAGCACCCAGTTTATAGTGTATTTCTGTTTTTTGTTTTGAGGCCAGATCTCATGTATCCCAGGCTGGTCTCAAACTCCCTATGTAGCAAACAATGACCTTGAACTTCTGATCCTCCGGCCTCTCCCAAGTGCTGAGATTACAGGGGTGTGCCACTCTACTTGGTTTATGTGCTCCTGGTGACTGAATCCAAGGTTTAGCAGTTTACCTGAGTAGTATCCCCAGCTCTGAGCCCAGATGATGAACCAACATTTTAAATTGTAATACTTTGTCTTATGTGCTATTAAGAAGAACATGGAAAAAAAAAAAAGAACATGGTGGCAGGATGGCTCAGTAGGTAAAATAGCTTCCTGTCAAGATTGATAATCTCCTTGATTCCTAGGACACAGTTTCAAAGACTGTTCATTCACCTAGTGGTTGGCAGTGATGGTCGGGTATTCCACTGGCTAAGCCAGGGTGATTTCCTTTTCATAGCTCAGTCATCTTTGCTGTGAGGGCTCTGTGTGAGGACTTGCAATGAACTCACTCACGTTCTAAAAACACTCTGAGCTCTTGGGTCTTTGGGCCATGTTCTTTTTCTCCTAGATTACAGGTCTGACCTACGTCCTTGTTTGGTACTAGGGATTGAACTCATGGCTTAGCACAGGCTAGATCCTCACCTCTCTCCTGGGCTGTGTGTCTCTAGATCTATGAGTTAACGACTCTCTGATCCAGTTACCTCTCTGTTCTCACAGGGTTTCCTTTTTCCCAGATCTGTGACTAATTGGAACAATTTCTTCTCTCTCTCTTTTTTTTTTTTTTTTTTTGGTTTTTCGAGACAGGGTTTCTCTGTGTAGCTTTGTGCCTTTTCCTGGATCTCACTTGGTAGCCCAGGCTGGCCTC